CGACAAAGTTTGCTGCTGATCAGGTCTTTGATTCAGCAAATTATCCAAGAAAAACTGTACTGATCTCCTCACCTAAATTTTAAACAAAACATAAATCATTAAATACATTCGAATATTTAGGTAACACGATATTTTTAAAAATAAAAAACACACCGCTGACAAATCCCCGGTTGGCTGAAGCGCTCCAAGATCGATGAGACCTTGCATAACCTGCATGGCCACACCTCGTACATTAGCCAATCGAATGCCGACACATCAGCATATTTTAACTGAATACATTTTTTTGTTAATATATCAGTGGTTTGTGCTTTATACATAACCTTTTTGGCATCCTTCTCATAAACGGCGTAAAAAACGTCTAATAACCTCTGCCTCGTAAAGCTCTTAATATCTCCCATCATACCAAAGTCGTAATATATAAGCGATTCGTCGACGTCGATTGCAAGATTTCCTGGATGAGGATCCGCATGGAAGAAACCCGTTTTTAATATCTGAAATTGCAGCAAAAAAATTATTAAAATAAATAAATAAATACGTGTTTATTATTTTTAAATCTTATTAAAAAATAATTGAAGGCCACCTGAATTAAGTAGGCTTCAATAGCACGTGCCGAAATATTTGATCGGCTGTAGCCTCTTTCCGTGCTTCAGAAAACGGGAGATCAATTTTTCGTGCTCCAGAAAACGGGACCTTCAAACTGCTTTTTGAATTTTTATTTTCGGAAAAAAAAATAAAAAAATATTTAGATATGAATCTCCCGTGTTGTAGAACACGGGAACTTGAATAATCTCATGTTCCCGTGTTCTATTTTTAAATTTTTTTCTAAATATCGAATTTTCTAATTATTTGAGGAACATGATAACACATATTCGGATTATTGTACTCGTTTGTACATTCATCATCAAATATTTCGTCAAAATCACCATCATCACCCTACCAAATTATAAAAATTAATAATACAAAGGAATATAAAAATTAATAATAAAAAAAAAAAAAAAAATTGAAAATTGATATGCAAGTTCCCGTGCTGTACAGCACGGGTAACTCCAATATTTTCCACATTTTTGATACTATTCGTGCTGTATAGCACGATTGTATCAACTTTTTATTATTATTTTTTTTTTATTTCTTTCTTTTTACCATATAAAAGTTATTCGAGTCAGCCATTGAAGAAGTCGTTGTTCGTTTTTAAATTTGTCGAACGAGCTTCAAATTCTAAGTTTTCGATTTTTTTTAGTTGAGAGCGTTTCGGTTTTTTTAAAAAGTTAGAAAATTGACAAATGAGGCTACCGCTGCAAATAAGCCAATTTCAGTAAAAGTCCCGCTACAATTAGCATTTCAGTATGATGGATAAAAGGGGCCGTAGACTAAATAAAACTCATCATAGGGGGGGTCAATGCTAATTTTTTTAACATAAGGACTTTTCCGGCAATTAGACTTTTCACAGGGGGCTCTATGCAATTAACTCCCAAATTCAACTCACAATAATAATAATAAAATAAAATAAAAATCAATTAATACTAATTACAGCTGGATTTGCTAGAGTGCCATTATGACTTTATTGACATGAAATTAAACAAATTAAAACCCTTTGACCAATTAAAAAAAAAAAAAAAAAGAGAGACAGGGTAAAATATTTAACACTTTAATTTAAAAACAATGCGAATATATGACGTCACTATCAAGCAAGAGTAAAATTCTCCATGCCTCTTTTTATATATGGTATACATATTTATTTCGGTTATTAATTATTAATCAAAAGAATTACAATTCCGAAAATCTCCAGATTGTTCTCCCTTTGATTGATTCAAGGCCTTAGAAGCTTGTTCTCGAATCAAATAAATATAAACACTTTGAATTCAGATATGTTATGAATTCGCGATGGAAACTCGAGGCTTAAGCTTTAGAGTTAGATATGTGTCTATTGTGAGTCTGTCTTTTGTATGTACCGAAGGTCTTCGGACAAGCTATGATTTTTGACTTGCTATATGGGCCGGACAATTTAAAGCTCAAATGTATTATGCACTTTAATTTGAAATCTAAATTAATAACCGATTTAATTTTCGGTTATTAATTAGTAATTTATTTCAAAATTAGTGTCAAAGTGAAGAAAGATGCAAAAGCCTAAAATGATTGAGAGACAAGATAACAAATTGTATTCCTCCACATGCTTCAACATTTAAAGTTGGCCCTAACTCTCATGCTTTGCTTCCTCTTTTTTGCTGTTTCCTTTTCCAAATCTAACTCCCTTATATTTATTCTTTAATGCCTAACTTATCACAATTTCACCACTTGTTAGCAAAAATACTCTACCAATAGACGAAATCATTTGTCTCCTGAATCTATCTGGTGCTCACAAGAAAACAACCTTTATTGACGTTGAAATTCTCACACTGCGGCTGCCAGTACTCGGTCCTAGGACCCATGCGGGTTCAACACAAATATTTATCGAAATACAAAATACGAAATAAATGTGTTTGTGTATTCACTAATTTTATGACAACTAACATTTAATAAGTGTTGGGTGTTTCTAAACAATATGGCTCGATTATAGAATTTAAATTGAAATTAAAAAAAACATTGAAGATCTTATATAATTAATTGAAGCCTAACACAAAATGGAAGTGATTAAAGAGGAAGACAAGATCCGGCTTATAGGTGATCCAAACAAACTACTAATTGAGTAGGGCCTTATGCTATCTTCTTCCCACATCAAATCTAAGTTATATTATTCAAAAAATAAAAAATAAAATAGTATAACCCCACACGTTTGTACGAGTTTACACGTGGTGAATGTGAATTACACACAATCAGAAATTAACGGGGGCGGGTACTTCAAATACCACTTCTTTCTCACTTCGATACCACCAAAATAAAAATTAAGTAATAAATAGGTAATTCATATGTAATGACATTAATTGCACAAAAAATGACATGTTAGTGTCTAAATTGGAAAAAAGAAAAAGAAAAAAAAAACCCTCAATTTTTCGGCATGTACATGAAGATTTTTATTTTATTTTTGTAAGTTGTCAAAAATTTCGAAATCATGTCAATAATTTCTTAAATTTTGACTTGTACATGTCGAAAACTGATCTATAAAGAACAATTCACAAAAACACTAATCAATGCTCAAAATGACCAAATTAGAAGTACCCAATAAATAACAATCATTCAATACTCAAAACGACCAAATTATAAACCTATACAACATTTTGACCAAAATGTAAGGGAAAAAAAACTTATTTGAACTCGCCGGTAATGGAGTCCGATGATGATGATGGCGGTGGAGCGGCCTTCAACTCCGGCAGTTGAGCCGGGGACCGCGGTGGTGGTGGCTACGATTTCGCATGATCGGTTTGGGGGTGGAGGGTTTTGCTTTTCTTTTCGTTTCCCTTGGTATAAATTTTGTGAAAAAATGTGGTTTGAAATTCAAACAAGTGAAATATGTGACGATAGGTATTTTAGTACTTTACTAATAAAAAATTGTATTTCTGGTATAACCTAACGAAAAAGTTATAAGAACTTTGCTAAAATATGGTATTTTAGCTTGATGGTATTTGAATTAGCCGCCTCTAAAATTAAATGATGTATCTCATCAAATATAAATCCCATACTTAATTAGTTTAAGTTTTTTCTAAGAGAGATTCTTTGTACATCTCCCACCAATTGGTTCCTCACTAATTCAACTCATTTCATTTCTTTATTATTAACAATTAGAGGTTCAACTTTGAAGGATGTATTTGGAAATTAGATGGTGGAATCTAGATTTGAATAAGAAATATAATGATAATAGTTATAAAAGTAATCTTTTAAAAAAAATAAAAATAAAGCACCATTATTGAAAACTCGCCAAACCTTATCAGTATAGTTTCGTAGATGCTACACCCGATAAATATATATTTATCGGGTGATTTTTCAACTCTAAATCTACACATAATTAACTATGTATTAAATTAATTATTCAAAAAAAAAAATATGTATTAATTTATGTGTACAATATGTACATTTCATCATATACCAAATTATCTTAAATCTCTACATCTCTCAAACGAGTGTGAAAAAAAAAAAAAAAAAAAAAAAAAAATTTCACTACAAACCAGTAGTGATCGGCGAATATTCGCCGTAGAAATCGGAGATTCCGGAGGCCAACCAGAGCTTCTCGTTGAAGGTTTCCTGCATATCCGCCGGAATGAACGGCGTACGGCAAAGAGGGCACGTTTTCTGATCGTGGTCCATCCAACGGTCGACGCAGCTCCGGTGGAAGATGTGTCTGCAGTTCGTGAGCCGTCGGATCTCATCGTCGCCGCTGAATTCGTACAGACACACCGCGCAGTTCTCCGGCGGGTCCACCAAATCGGAGAACTTCACCACCGGGAGAAGCTCGCGGATGAGCGCCGCCGCCACCGACCGGGGCTCCGAGCTCGATTCGCTCCGCTCCGAATACGACGGCGTTCCGGGCTCCAGAAAATCCCCAATCCCCATGAACGAAAACAAAGCGCACACAAATTTACGTATAAATCCTAGAACTGTTAGTATGAAGACAAGTAATTTGGGAAGAAAAATGTCTGTGTATCCCACCGGAAACTCCCTTGTGAAACAGAAGAAGAGCGAAGCCAAGCTTTGGTGTATTGTGCAGAGTTAGTGCGTGTACTGTGTGTACAATTTTGGGGTTGAGTGAAATGAATGAAGGAAAGAGGAGGGAGAAAGAAGAAGGGGGAGAGGGGTGGGTTATATAGGGAAGGTTGGGGGTGTGTGAAATGACGGTTTTGGGTCTGTGGTTAAGGGAAATGGCATTGAGAGGACTTGCCGCGTATGTGTGATTGTGAGTCAGCAGTCACGTTGGTGTAGGTGGTCCGTGGTTGTATGTTTGTACTACGCGGTCTCTTGTAAACGAGTCGAGTTCGATTTGAGTATTGTTTTTCTGAGTTTGAGCTCGGGCGTGCCAGAGTCCAGACTTGTCGAGCTTGAGTCTGAGCCAATTTTTGTATATATATATATATATATATCTTCTTTTTTACTAATATTATTATAAATTATAAAAAAAGTCGAAAAAAATGAGTTGTAATTTATTTTTTAATTATTTATATGAATTTATTATTTATTTTATATTAATTATATTTAAAAATTAGAATTTAAAATAACCGGTTCGCGAACTCACGAACAACTAAAAATAAACTCAGGCTCGACTCGTCAGAAAACTCGAGCTCGAGCTTCGAAAAATTTGAGTTCGAACTTTTGCCGAGCGGCTAGAGGCGCGTGTGTGATTAATCAACACATGGGATTATATTAGAGAATGATTGATTAATTAATTAATTGTTGCCAATTTTGATTTTTTTTTTGTTTGGTGGATTGACAGTACTATATCCGACTATATAATATAAATTGAAGTTTATAATTGAGAATTAACGTACGGCACATCAAATGAAGATATAATAAGATGTTGTGATAACTAATATGTAGACTTGACACGTGTAATCATAAAATGCTTACTTAATTATTTAATTGTTTTCCTATTAATTTTCTATTAATACACGGCATCATCTGACTCGGCATAGTGTAATCTGCGAGAAATTCTCCAGCGTGTCACATAGTTCTTTTTAGTGATTTTTTTTGTAGGTATGGCGAATATGTATCCTCTGTAACGAGAAGTTTGCGTGCAATAATCTCCCGTTTTCGATCAACTGTCCCTCTCGAATCCCGAGCTGCCCATCTTGATTGATCATGCATCAAATAAGATACATAGTTTAATTAGAGTTTTTGACACATAAATCTAGTTTAAGAATGGAAACTTGGGTTCGTATGGGTGGCCTAGTTAGTAGATCGATTGAACGCCGAGTAAAATGATCCGAGTTTTTACCAATGTTTTTAGATTGAAAATTAAAATTTATTTTACAAACACATCAATTTATACATTAACTGTTAAAATACCCCATAACTTTATAAAAATAACCAATTATTCCAAAATTTTACACAATCACTAATTTCAAAAAAAGAATTTTAAAAATTCATCTATTTGCAAACCATATGTTTAATTTTCAACTTTAAAGCTCGATCAAGTCGGCCCAACATAATCTATGCTTAAATAACATTCAAAATAAGATTAATTATAAATTTAATGAGCCAAAAAAAAAAAAAAAAAAAAAGTGGGATTCCTTAGCAAATAATTGTATACATGGACCAAAAGAAAGAAGTAAAATAAGAATATAAATTGTTCCCAATGCATCAAAGGTGGGGGACTATTTGTTTCGTCTAATCAATTCATCCCTTTTCGAAGGGCCACTCAGCAAATAAAAAATAAAAAAATAAATAAAAAAGAAAATTCGAGAAGCACTCAGTAAAAATAATCCAAGAAAAGCAAATTGAGATGGAAAATAAAAATGTTAGTAGAAAAGAAAAAAACAAGGGTAGTGGGTGCAAATGGCCCATTTGCAACCACAATTGTCGCTACACTGCAGCAATCTTGTGAGAGAGTGTCCAAAGTAATAAATAATAAAGAATAAAGTTAGTTTTTAGAGAAATTATAAATTAAATAAAAATCAAATACTATTATTACAAATGAAAAGTAAAAGAAATATGAAAAATAGGAGAAAGAATCAATCGAATACCGACCTCGGCACTAGGGACGTAAACGAGACGAGTAGACTGATGAACTCGATGAATTGGTTCGAGAAAAATAAAGCTCGAGCTGTAGCGCGCTCGAGCGTTTACTTTTAGTTGCCCGTGAACTCGTGAGCTTCTTTGTTTTATTTATTATAATTTTTTTTGTTTTATTTTGTAGAGACTAATAATATTAAGGGTAAATTACAACCACCCATGAGGTATGGTCAATTTACAAAAAATCTCTCTTGTTTGGATAATTACATCTACCCCTCAACTATGATTTTTTTTTTACACCTCCACCATTATGGTGTCAAATTCAACATAATCATCTAGATTTCGTGAAATGTGCTCTAGTTTGTATTCGTTTTGTGTAAAAATACAGTTTCTGATGCACCACAATCTGATATATATATATATATACAAGCTTAAAAACACATATTATGATCATCTTGCTTCAAAATGTGGAGTTCGAATAGAATAAAACGGGTACAAAAGTGATAATAATCCATATAGTCTAAAAAATTCCACTAAATTTGAAACCGCAAGGGTGGACGTGTAAAAAGATTTATACTTGAGGGGGGTGGTTGTAATTATCCAAACAAGTGGGTTTTTTTGTAATTTGACCATACCTCGAGGGTGATTGTAATTTACCCTAATATTAATAAAAAAAGGAAAAAAAAAAAAGAGAGTTGAACTTGATCTTAGAAAGTGAAAGCTTGAGTTCGTCAAATTCGACTCGAGGTCGAGGTCGAGAAATCCGCTAAAACAAGTCCAAAATATTATTATTAAAATTCCTTAAAATTATGGAAATATTAGAGAAACCTCCATCACTAAGTTGCATAACTAGAGAGGTGGATTAAAACTATTTAGGTTTTCATTTGTGATGAATCCCTCATTACAATTTTTCAAGAGAACAACAAATTGATCGACCTATCTAGTTGACTATATTTAGTGGTATGATATATGGTCAATTAGCACGGTCGACTGATATAGTCGACTAAAATTGTTCGAGAGAACAATAAATTAGTCGACCTACGTACTTAGTTGGTCATTTTTCGTTGACCTATCTAGTTGACTATTTCAAACCAGCTAGCTATATTTAATTGATCATTCTTGAATCGAATAACCTAGTTCGAGCGAAAACATGGGAAGTATTTTCAGTAATTTTGAATAGTTTGATATGATTAATTGGGTAGGAGATTAAATAGAAAAAAGTGCAAATAAATAATAATTTGTTTTTTTCATAAAGGGGATATTTTAAATTGAAAAAAAAAACTCAAAATAATTATTAATTAAAAAAAAAAAAAAAAA